ACTCAGACAGTGTCTCACGTCGACTCAACGCCAGCATATTAGACCGACACGACGTGCATGGGTGCGGCGAGCACAATCAGAAACATTCACCTCGACTTGAACACGCTTTGCGACCTGGCGACCCTTCGCCGCGTGCGGGGCTAGCGGACCCTGCTCGCTGCTCTGCATGCGCGTAAGAGAAGCTTCTCGGAATGTTGTGCCTGAAAGCGTAGGGTCGATTCTTGGTTGTTCCCTCATAGCTGCGCCATTCCAAGCGGTTTCATAAAGGCTAACCCACTCGCATAAGGCACAGCCCCGAATCAGCAAGCTCGTCCTTTGCAAGCTTGGCTTAACCATGATTTGACTGAAACGAAACCTTTGCCTGCAGCAAGATACGACTGCGGACTCCGATGGAGCCCGGATGAGGTTTCGTGATTCGATGAAGCTTCCCAACCAGGGGTGGCAACCGCTGTTCCATCTCTCCCCGGTCACGAGCCCAAACAAGCTCTTGTTCGCACTCCGCTTGCCCTGACCCCTCGCAGACGGGTTGCGCAGGTGCACGTGAGCATGCGCGCGCGCTGTGGATACAGCTGATGAGAGTCCGGTCAAAGGGGCAAAGAACGTTGGCCCAGCCGTCGGAGGTCTAGCATCAAAGGGCTTTCTTTTGCCACTCAACACTGGCCATGGGAAAGGAGAAATCTGTGACAGAGCTCTGACCCGTGACAAGCCCGATAAGGGGAGCTTTTTCATCATATCTGGGCGTGAGCCGGTCAATCCGACCCGATCACTCGATCCGTCAAAGGCTCTGCTCGAGCTGAGCAGCAAGCTACCAGATAGATTCCATGCACCTCTACCCTCTATAGCTCGCCTGGTGCTTGCCTGCGCCATCCATATGCGTCGTCGAGGAGCAAGAGGAGGTCGATCATGACGGATGCGGTGAGCCAATGTCTCAGATTTCACTTCGTGACTGTACATGAAAGCGTGCCGGCGCGGCCGCAACTGGATTGGATGTGCAGCAGTCACGAGTGAGCTGCGAAGCGCTGATGGGTGCATGGCAAACTTGGCCGCCGTTCGATCATGCAGCATATGCTGACTCGATCGTGACTACACTACTGTACGGTACTATATACTCCTCTGTTTGTGCACTTTGGTAGAGTCCATCCACGTCTTGCTTTGCCGCGCTTGCTTCCTGCTAAGCGCTAGAGAAAAGCAAGTTGCAGTTGCGCAGTAGTGTGAGATGCTTCCACGCACCACCAAATGCGTGTGTGTGGGGGGGGGAGGCAAATTCTCTGCCCAACGCAATGACAATCATTCATTCACCTCTTCCCAAACGTCTTTGCACATTCAGATTCGAGTCGCCTCACGTCGGGCTTGGCCAGGATGACGCTGCTACTTGCCGTCTGCGAGCTTTGCTCTTCAACACAAGAAGAATCTCGACCACATCTGCGAGCCGGCTGGGCTTGATCCCATGCAGCCCAGCTGAGCACCGTGAACATGCAGTACAGTAGCTGCCGTCTGCTTAGCGCCCATGCAGCATTGAATCCCGTGCATGTTTTAGTGCTGCCCAACCGCATGCATGTCTTCTCTCACGCTACGATTGCGCCCGCTTGAGCAGTCAAGTCTGCGATTCAGCAAAGCCTTTGAGCGAGGCTTCTAGCGGATCGTCGGGGCTGATTGATTGACTGATCGATTGATACCTTCGGACGAGAGCATCCGGCGAGCGAGCAGCTTGGTCAGCTTGTATTGCTGCTGCCACTTGCTCTGCTCCCTAGGATCGAAAAGGGGCGAACGACACGCCAGCCGGCGACATCGTACCCAGATGCGAAGATCGCAGGCAAAGACAGGTACTCGCTTCTGTACGTACTCGTAACTGTGTAGTGCGCACGCATTCTAAGCTCAACCGCCACTCGTGACTAGCGTAGCATGACGTGGCTTGGAACGCAAGCCTTTCAACTCCCTAGACTCCCTTCCCCTCGGATGCCAGGGTCAGGCTAGACCTCGTCGGGGGATTCTCCCGTTGAGCTCGAATCGCCCTCAATTCCAGCTCTAGGCATCACACAGGGGGCGTCCGACTAGCCCAAACATGGTATACAGGCCCACCCACCAAGGCAAATGCTACCTTCCACAACGCTTCGAGTGGATGTGGCATGGGGCGGGGCCGGGGCCGGGGCCG